GGGAATCTCATTAATCCATTCATGCGCGTCACTAGTTAGATGACGAGGCATTTGGCTAAGCACCTTTTCTAATACTGGTGTGCATTTTAGCTCTTGAAATGTATTATATTTCTGACTGATCAAATGATGACTTACCCTCGATGTAGCCCTCCAATATCGAGTCCGGTCGATTATGGAAATGATGAGGGCGAACTTTTATTAAAGAAATTCGACATACAAGTGATGGACGCCCGTTGACAGGCGCTTCTTTCGGACACACATTCAAAATCGATCGAATATTGTGGTGAAGTTCAATATTTAATGACAAAATCAAGCGAGAGCCCGCAGATAATGAGCAGGTGGCTGCTAGAATGTTTGAACGCCTCATAAAAGAGGCACACTGAAGTGAGCAGTTTCATAAGAAAAGAAATATATAATTCTTAGTATTTAATTTAAAAAAAAGAAATTCACTGTCAAATTACGTTATATTCATTTTTTGTTTGAGATTGTGTCTGGTGTTACTGATTGGAAAGTTGTGGTAAATTTTCAATTTTGATAGAGATTAACAATTACACTAATTCTTGGAGTCGAAGACTCTAGAAGTTAGTGCTTACTGTTTTGCCTATTCAAGACATGAGATATTATTACACTTCATCTTCAGTAACGAAATGCATAAATTTGCGGTATGCATCGCTGGCCACTAGCGCAGTTGCGGTTCTTGCCGCAAGAACATGTACATTTGGGTTTTGGGATGTGAAGGAAGGCTGCCTTATTGCTCGCTGGCCCAGCTGCGTTGCAACCTGGCTAATCTGGCTTGTCACATTTTCTGATCTTATGTTATGTTTGAAGTCTTTTGAATCTACAGTGATCGATCAGACACTTCATATAGTCAGGAGTTACTATCTTTACATCTGTGCGCAGAGGCAACCAGTCATCAATACTTGAAGCGAAGACTGATTTTTATTTTGACGCACGTATTTAAAATCAGTCAGTCGTATACCGTCAACATTTGTTTCAAGCCTTGAAGAAACTTTTGTTCACTCTGTGAGTCGTGCAAGTCTGAAGCCGCTTGGTGAGCGAGTTTGCGTATGCTCAGAAAAGAGTATTGACCTGAACACAAATATTTTGGAAAGGAAAGTAGATTGTTGATAACACGGTGCGGTACATCTGTTTGTGCAACGATGCATGGTACCTTCAGCGGGTTGATAGTTATCATGAAAACTCTAATTGACCTTAGAGCTGGCAAAATTAATGGTCGTTCTCAAAATTCATTTCCTCAATGTTGCAATGCGTATTCTCTTGTCTTGTGGATGTTGCAGCTGCTTGTGCTGCTCAGAAAAGGTCGATAAACCAATGATTTACGCTCTGTTATATTCCAGATTGCATTTGAAATCAGGCAAACTATAATCGCATGACATTGCAGCCACAAACGGCGAGAGACCTTTACAACTTGTCAGTGTCCTCAGCTGTGAGTTCAATTAACACGTTCGGACTAATTTCTATCTAAAATATCTTTGATTTTTTAATGCCGCAAAGTCAGGAATAGACAACAGTGGAGTGAAAGAGTGAGCGCCAAAATGATCGCACTCCATTTAGCGAGGCGCTCATTTCTGCATTCATGCTTTGCCTTACTTTAGTATTTTCACGATTTTATTGCCAACAAATCACAAAAACATTTTCGAAAAGGAGATTACGTGTGGCACGTGTAGACACAAGCCGATAGAGTAGTGAAGAGTATCCAACTTGCGAGATCAGTGCAAATGACAGCTCTTCAGAAAGACGTTACAGATCAAGCGATCTACGACTAGTTCGCGCAAAGAGGATTCAGACCTGTTCTGATTGTTCCTACGCACGTGCATGGTTATGTGAAGTCCATATGACGCACTGTATTCTTTAAAGTGTGGGTTGTCTCTTTAGATCGACCAGAGAGCCTCTTCGAGGGATACATTTCGACTCAGAAGAAAAGCCGTGCTTTGTGCAGCACAGGCTACGCAAGTTCAATCGGGTAAAGCCGCCATCCTTACGGCCTCATCATTGTCGATCGTCTGACACTTCCGATGCTAGCATGAATGGAAGAGAGTTCGCCGCGGAGCACAAAGTTACAACCCATAACTCCAGCAAGCCACAAGGTAAGACACGAGTTGCAATAGAACTAGACGAGCCATCTGCTCATGCTATGCTCACCAGTCGTGCCTCTAGTCGTACTGGACCAGAGTGAAGCGCAATATCGTTGATGCAGCTCCAGAAGGCGCACCAGAGTGGAAACTCGTTCAGCACTCGCTATACGGGATAATCAATCGCGACGGCGGCAAGTACATCGAGCCAACCGGCCTCGCTCCGTGCAAGTTGAAGTGTGAAGTTGAGGACCCGTATTCGCTGGTGTACTATATTCCTGTATCGCCAAATCGCTATGACATTCTTCGAGATGAGGGATTTGAATCGACTCCCCCACCATATGTTGATCTGGAAGCTGGTGAGCAAGACGGGGATGACGATGGAATGATCGCCCGCAATATCTGGCTTTACTACATCGTCTGATCTTTTACTGTATGTGGAGGAGGCTCGTACAATGAGAAGTTTTCGTACCCTCGCTCTTAAAGTCGAACAAGCTTCGACAGTAGAACTTCAACATGTCATCGACGTGTTCATCGAATGAGATGTTCTAAAAATGACATCTCATTAAGGCGTCCTGGCAGCTATCCAAGCGCAACCTGCTTATTTTCGGCGCTATTTTCAGCTTCCTCCCAATCGTCGAGACCAACTGTTTCGAGCGCACGCGATGTATCGTGCAATCAGTGTGGAACCTGTCGCTGAAAGTGGAGCTTTGGAATCCAAAGATCGTTTGAAAGAATGCTATGACATAGACAAAGCTGATGCTGCCATCATCTTCGAGAATATGTTTCCAAGTAGTGACGTTCAAGCCGCTGCGGTGCACAGTGCCATCAGTGACTTGTTCGTGATGATGTTTTGCCCAAGTATATATCGATCCAGTGAAACTCCAACTCCAAGCTCTTCTGGGCATTACTGCCCCCAAACGGCTTCGTCACTCCCGTTTCTGCTCTGGAGTGACCTCAATCTTCTCTGCTTAGCTCGGACTGATGCGGCGAAGATCTTTATTAATGATATAGCAACTATATCGTTGCCTAAATCGATGGCTAAAATGTCCTCTAGATTGGCGAACCTTCTTCTAGAGGAACTTAGACATTAAGTGGAGTCTCGCTGAACGCAAATGGATTAAATACAGCTAAACTCGACACGTATCAGCGAACTCTCTCGGAATATTAACTGGTCGCGTATCAAGAGACAAAGTTCAACAAAAAAGACTCACTGCAGACCAGCGAACATTATATCCACATCTCTGACTCAGGAGAGCGCTGCTTTTGATCCGACACCACGACTCCTGTCTTCAACGAAATACATGGCGTAGGCTTGATATTGTCATCGGCCTCAACGTTTGGCGAAGTTGAAGAGCTCACTAGTTACGTCTACAAGGACCAGTTACGCAATCGATTTTTATCACTCAAGTCCACGCTTGGTACTCAGACGGTGTATATACATGTTGTTTACGCACCCGATGAATCTCCACGACGTGTCGATTTTTTTCGTGCACTTCCCACTCAATTCATTCTCAACCACTCGGATGAAGATAACCAAGCGGCACACATTGTCATGGGTGACTTCAGCGTCACAATAGATTCTTCTGGATCAAACTTCACCTACCCAGTTGCACCCGGGCACTGGTAGAGAGAGGAAGTGCGTGATTGGCTTGACGCGTTGAGCTTGATCAACGCATGGCACTTTGTGCATCAGGATTCAAAGGACTACACAAGCCCAACACGCAGAAACCAACTGTTTTACTGGATTTTAACAGTGGATGTAGTACAAAATCATATAGTTGAGATCAAGCATATAAGGGATCGAACTTGGCATAACGAGGACCACATACCGGTTGGGTTTCGGCTACAAGCAAGGTTTTTATGCCAACGGGTTTCAAGACCAAGCTATTGTCGAGGGGCAACAAGCATTAACGGCGAGTGAAAGTGTTGAGATGACGTCATTCAAAACTGAATAAGAGCGATTTTGCAGTTATACGTCTATTGTTTATAAATTTACATTTTCACGTACAGAAAACGAATTCAAATTAGCCTTCTTGAAATGTGCTGCGTATTTATCTTAACACGTCTATGCCATCTCGACCTATACACTGCAATTTTCTCGTTGGTGAAGTCATTTATGGCTGACCTGGAACTTTCTTGTTGTAGTCAGATTCAAAGCATTTCTGTGCAGAGTGGTCATCGGCGTTCAGTTTTAGGCTAAAGATTATGGGTAGGCTTTATTGAGTGAGTCAGTATTTTTTATGTTTTGGTAAGTTGATGCTGGTGCATAATTTGTTCCCTTAAATATATTCGAGTTTACGGTGGGTCTAAGGAGACTTGCTCTTGAAAGATATTGAAACGGTGATCACTGGATCATCAGCTTAATAAACCACTGCACAACACAGGAGCTGTACTCAGATGAAGATAATGGTTTGGTGGTCAGGTCACTTTAATACTGGGTTTGTGCGTATTCATCCCACGAAGTTCCGTCAGTCAGAACTCGAAAGGCCCCACTGTTAACAAGACTGTTTATATGATCAAACCTTTCAGCGTCTAAGCTTCGGTTCCTACTTCCCTCGACTAACTGACGCAAACACTCTTTTGTCAGTCAACGCGCCTTGCAATGCCATGGAAGGTCTGCATACCCCGTTTCAGCGAGGCCAATGTGCCCAACTCGTTTTGGTCGTTACTGAAATCGACGAGGCAACAGGCGCCATGCGGTTGGTCACGTTTTAGATCTGTCTAAAATTTGAATGAGAGGCAGAACCTGGCTCTGAGCGCTAGCGGAACTCGCGCGCACGGTCAGTAACGACTCCGTTGCGTTGTGATAGGTGTTGGTTTTTGTTCTTACTTATTAATTAATTTATGGTTTATGAGTTATGATTATAAATTTATATTTTAAAATAATATTTTTTGTACACGTCACCAGGAGACAAACGCCTTGGAAGATACGCCGAGGTCCAACAGCTCTCTACCTTCTAAGAAGTCTAGTTTCTTCGGCAGGGTCATTAATCAAGCTTACCCCCCCGTTAAATACGGAGCTCTAGCATTCAACCGCAATATTATTGAGAAACTGATTGGCCACCTACTGTTTGATGTAGATGACGTGTCGGACCACATTACTCGTTCGCGCGTTTTATCCATGTTTAAAATGCTCGAAGACGCGCTAGGTGTATTTTGTCAACATTGAGTGTGTTTTTGTGCTCAAGATAGTCGTGGGATTTGATTCTGAGGATGTGTCATTCCGAAGTGCGTCTTGACTCATTGACAATGCACGGTTAGTCTCAAAGATCAGTTACTTGTAAGGCTGCTGTGAAGGCGTCTGATTTTCATAAATCCAAGTCATCAGCCTTTTAAGAGTCTCTTCGGCACCGATTGGTGTACTTCATTGCGCTCGACCCTGAGGGCACGCACAAGGACCGTCGCATACAGGAGCTTGAAATTACGTTTGCTCAAGTGCTGGAACGCTGGTCACGTAAAATGTTTACGGGATATCTTCTTCGTATCACAACAAATTGCCGGAGCACTGGTTATTTAAGTGTGTTGGTCGCATGATGCCGTTGACTACTCCTAGCAAAGAGAAATCGTGTCCATCGGAACGAACGTGAAGCAAACAATGACTGGCCTATTTCGAGCGAGCAAACTACATTCGAACGGGCAGCTACGTTCTCTTTGGTGCACATTTGGTGCGACTCCTCCAGCTAAAACTTGTCGCCCAGAAGAAGTTCAATTTTCTTGCTGATGTTATGTTCGTGACGATTCTGACGAATTTTCTTAATGGCAGCAAATTCTTACGGCCGAGTTAAATACGGCTTCTCCAGTTTCGCAAGTTCTCCCTAGTTGTCGATGCGATAAGTCGCTAAAAGACTTCGTGTGACCGATCCTGTGGTGCAGTGGTTCGCCGCTCACTTCATGACCGGGAGGTCCAGGTTCAATCTCCAGGCCGGGTAGAGTCGAGTTAGAGTGTAATGAAAAACCCTACAGCACGTGCTTGACATGGCTTACACGACTCCTACAAAGGGGTGTCGTTTCTCATTATGAAAGACTTCGTGTGCACGTGTTAGAATATTTCCAGGAGGAATAACCAGTGTCCATGGCTCCTGGCAGCTGGTTGACCTATTATTGTGCCTTGGTGCCGAGTGACGGTTCAAGCTAAAACGTGCTCACGTCTGCACGGGTTGAGAAAGCTGTCAAGTCAGCACCGAGCCGATTTGACCTTAGATTAGCGGTTTCCTTTCAGATATCTACCTGGAGATATATATTGCTGGAGCCGATTTGGCTATTTCTCACGCTCGTAATGAAAATTTTATGGTGGCCTATGCTGATCTTCATTCGCGATCAAAGCATCTTCATGATCGATTTGATTGAGGTTCTGATAGCGTGTGATGCTACAAGAATAGTGATTTCTATAGTCAGTCCGTTTGCTGGATTTTTAGCGGGCATCAAAGGGGACCTAGCCTTTTGGTGAATATGGGATCTTCGACGTCTTCACCGCTATTTTTGCTTCATTCTCTGGCCGAAATACGTATGGCTGCGCCAACCGCCAATAAGCGCAGCGACTTCATGAAGCCGGCTAAATGCAGGTTCAGATCGACGTCGCACCAAGATCTCTTTCCGCTAATCGTCGGGAGCCTGTGTAGAAAGCCTTGTAAAACTGTTTGGACACGAACACTGGGTGTAACGACGGCTGCGCGCTGTGCCAAGACAGCTTCGACTATTTAAGCCAGTTTATAGACAGTCTGGCTTCCATGTTCCCGAACACCGCAACCGTAAGGGTGGATTTATCGCTGATTGGATGCAAGAAAAACGAATCGCACATCTCGCTAATCGGCTTCCTCTCGAAAGGGCACTGAACTCTAAGCAGTTTGAAGAAATTGCGCGCCTTGCTGAGCAAGCAATAATACTATCAGACGTTTTTAACAGTACCACCGTGTCCCAACCGTTGTCCGACTGTCGGCTTTGTGGTGGAAATAGTGGAAAATCTCACTCTGGTGGTGGCTATACTTTTATGGGTGAGGGTGCACATTCCTTAGAAGAACAAATGTCACTGTGGGGTACCTAGCCAGTCCCTACATCTCTTCGTTCTTTTGATGGTTTACAGATCAGGTACGCACATCATTAGGAGAGTTGGATTTCATTAACTTCCGATTATTTCTAAGCTAAATTCATTTTTTAGTCTTGAAAATATTAGGTTACGGTTCTCGAAGTACTTGCACTTCCCAGATAACTTTGTCGTAGTGTGTAAGCTAACCGAAGCCCGATAGTAGAAGCATAAAGTGATGTGCTCTAACGCTTGATTGGCCAAAGCTCTGATGACCTGGGCTAGTATGAGGTTCTGCTCTTCAACTCTGGAAGAATCAATGCCTTGATGTTGCACTTGTGTGACGACGAAGTGTTGGTTTCGTCGAAGCTGCGGTTGAGGTCTTTTCCCACAATGACTGTATGTCGCAAGTAACGCGTGGATTCAACCTTGTGTGAACGCAGTGTGCTAGCCGAGTGGTGATACCAAGCACTGGGGTGTTGGTAAATGCGCATTAACTTGATTTCTTGGGTTTGAACGTGAAGACGAAGCCGTCGGCACTAGTGCGGATAGCTTGGAATTATGGTGTTACACCTGATGTTAGTCGTGGTAATGTTCAGTTGACCAGCGTTAGTACAATGGGCGCGGAAGCCAACTTGTAACAGGGGCAGTACTTGAGCATGATACTGAGTTGACCAATACCAATTTGCGACCGAAGTGTTGACGCTGAGATTGTTTGTGTCGACAGTGCAGAATGGTAGTAAATCGAACCTGTGCAATGTGTGATATTAGAGGCGTAATCCTTGGATTGTGTCTTGAATTTGCGCTATGTGTAGAAGTAGGAATGCGACCAAGAATCGTAGTTGGTGCATCTAATCTTGGTGTGTGCTGACTTGTGGGATGGTGTGGGTCCGGTGAGTGGCTTGTTAAAGTCGTTCTTGGATCAAAATGTCATCTTGACTAGCCGGACCTTACTTCCGATAATCGTGGATACGCGATAAACTTGTTATCTTGAAATTAACTGTAGATTTTCGCACTTTGTTGGATGGCATAAAGACCTAGTGTTAATATCTTGATCATCTTGCGTAGCTTTTGACTTGGAAAAACTGAGTTCACCGGGGCGTGGTAATTCATATTGGCTGAGCGGACAGCTGTACTTGGTTTTGATGTTTGAGTTTATAGCCGTCGTTATCGTGTCGATACGTGGAGAGGATCATGCGAAAAGCTTCAGTGAAGGACGCCTGAGAACGTTTTGAGCGGGAAGTCTTAGCTTTACCATCGAAATAGCTCGCAAATTTTACGTGTCATGATCAAAAGTTAACTAAGGCCCTCACCCCTAGTTAGC